TAAAGCAAACAGAACTTGAGTAACGCATACGGTTATTTTTTTTATAGTTTTTCATTTCTCGATGCGTCCTTAATGTGACGGAATATACCGCGTTTACCCTACAAATCTTATAATCAATATTTAACAGACTTCTAGTTCTATCTCTTCAATGTATCTGAAATTTTGCACACTTGCATGAAGTTGGAGTCTCTTGGAGACAACTCATGAATCAATTGACAGAATAAACAATTTTTAAAATTTAAAAAAATTTATTTTTGATATTTAATTAAACAAATAAAAAAATAATTTTGTCTGCTACATATCTTATAATCAATATTTAACACACTTCTACATTCTACCTGTCCAATTGATCTGAAAATTTGCACACTTGCATAAAGTTGGAGACAATGCATGAATCAATTGAAAGAATAATTTTAAAAATTAAAAAAAAGTATCAATGATATTAAAAAAATTGAAAAATAATTTTGTCTGCTACATATCTTGGTGGTGGTGGTTGTGGGTTGTAGGTGAAGAAGAAGTTGCACGTTGACCGCTTGTAACACCTGGACTACCTACCGGTAAGCAAAATAGGAAAGCAATAGTTATTTAGTTGTCTTCATCACGTTTCTCACAATTTCATTTTCTTAGCAAAGCAACTTGCGTCCGCAGTTTCAACCGGAATACCTAAGGGCAATTTATAGCTCCTCACGTTCGCGACTGTCGATTATCAGGATATTTGCCCCCCCATCTTCCCAACTTTCGGCTTGATCTCCCGCTCCACTGGCCACTGCTCCAGCAGTGGCCAGTGGGCAGGTGAGTTTCTCAGAGGACTGTCAATTCGGTAATCGGCATTACCCATACGGCATACAATCCGCAGCGAAGTAATCTCATAATTGATTCAAGTTATATTCTTCAGTACTGTTGTAGTAATATTCAACCTTCAAAAATCCCGTTCTTTACGATAGACTGGCATGTTAACTACTTAGACACGAAAAATAACATTCATGTGGCTACAGGGATTTTGATTGACTTCAATTTTGTGGTGCGGTTTATAAATATTGCTAGTTAATCCATTTCTGTAGCTCAATGAATTACCGACGCTATACGAAATCGAAAAATCGAATGAACTAATAACGAAGAGCATAAGAGGGCCGAATTATCAATAAGAAAATGAACGTCGTGTAAATTCAACGTTTGGTGGCTGATGGTTTATTAGGCTCCCACTAATCTGTCCATGACGATTGATGCCGACATACTGCCAGTTTCATATGTAAGTCACGCGGAATATTAGTAGCGATTTTCAAATATATATACGAAAGCTATTAGCTTCGTCCACATTTCGTTGCGGCGACCCATCAGTATATCGAGGTAAGTTTATCAATAATAAATCCACGATTTTAAATTACCATCACATGCGAACGAAAGTCCCACACTCGCAGTTTTTGACCAGCACCATCAGCTTTGATGATCGTTTGGCTGATTAAATATTTAATCACAATGACAGAAACGTGTATATCAAGGTGCAGCTGGTGGCTTTCAGCACAGACAGACCAATCAATCGAAAATAGTTCTCTTATGCGCAGATCAAACTATCAATACTAACATAACAGTGATCTCGGCGCTGCAGTGTAGGCCTGATGTGGCCTGTCGCCGATTCTTCTCCTTTTCGTGCGTTGCTCACAGCAGATCTAAAATCGTGTCAATTGACCGGATCTCTCATTACGACTGACGATAGTTTGAAGTAGCTAGTAGACTTCCACCGAGTTCGATATGGTGCTAGGCATATCAAATCTGAACATATTTTTCAGTAGCTTTACCTAGTCTGTTCTTGAACGCGTTCGCACTTGGAGCGCCAACGATTTCAACATCAATACTCTTTCATTTGTAACGCAAATCAAATTACATTATCCAATGTTATCTCAAACTTTTACGACTGACGATAGTTTAAGTAGCTACTAGACCTCCACCGGGTTCGATATGGTGCTAGGCATATCAAATCTGAACATATATTTCCGTAGCTTTACCTAGTCTCTTCTTGAACGCGATCGTACTTGGAGCGCCAACGATTTCAACATCAATACTCGTTCATTTGCAACGCAAATCAAACAACATTATTCAATGTTATCTCAAACTTCCATCGAAGAAATGGTTTCACTACTTTCATCGCTCCTTGCATGACTGGAATACTCTTGTTAATTTTACCGTTGATAAAATCCGACTAGAAAACTGTATCGGGCATCGGCTGTTCTCTCACTCAAGAATTCAAACGCAGAGACTAGAGATAATTTATTAGAAGTAGAATTTCGCAGAATTAAAAAACAATGTTTCGAACAGTAAAAGAAGCCGAATGCGGCATAACCCCTTATTCATAATACGAAGGTAATGCCACCAAGCCATTTCTGAGTATTGAGTTATGAAATGTGCAGTTTGCCAAAATACGCAGCTATTCTTCATAAGCATAAAATTTCATGAAACTAAAAAAACTCATGGTACCCGTACTGGCCATGTTATGACCTAGCTCTTAACATATTTACGCTTCGACCAACTTTTATTTCAACTACAAACTAATATTGCGGAGAAATTGATGGTTGTGACGTAGAAGCGAGGGAGACCGTTACTCTTCATCTCCAGATTCCTTGGTGGACTTCTTCGGCTTGGCAGGCCCCTGCAGGAATAAAGAAGTCTCAGTCGGCATGCTGAAATACGATTCTTTGCAAAAAGTGATTCATCACTCTGAAGCGAGGAGAATAAGAAGCCGAAATCTAGTTTGTCATTTAACGTTAAGAGTTAAGACGTACGGCTCGAAACTAGGTTCTCAATAAACGAGGTCACTGAATATTGTGAACCGATGAGTACAAGTTGCGAAGGCGACTTCAGAAATTACTGGAAAATATACTGTAATGGAATCCCATAATTACTACCGCAGACTGCTTACCTTTGATGCGCCCTTTCCAGCTGGCTTCTCGGCGCCTTTCTTCGACGCAGGTTTCTCGGCGGGCTTGTCTGCGGACTTAGCAGGGGCCTTAGCCCGTCCTTTTCCCTTTTTCGGACTTCCATCACCTTCAGAGGTCTTCTTGGCAGCTGCACCACGCCCTGCACCAGCCTTCTTCGTTGCTGCCGGGTCAGGCATTTACCGATGTCGTTTATCGATATGAACTTTTTATGTCTTGTCACAACTGCAAAAACATGAACAAAGATTCAATACATTGTGCTATGGCCGTTTCAATTTCAATAAGACATGGCTGCACTTCAGCGCTTACCATATTTCGTGCACAATTGCAACAATTTTCCTAAATAATCTACGAATATGAATTTATCACAGTTGCGTGCGCTACCTCCACGCGCAGCATATTACTCAGCTGTTTAGATGGCACGCTTATTAAAATCTGTTCACACAGCATCGTATGATCAATGGTCATACAACATCACCAAACTTATGCATGGTTTACACATGCCGCGGATAATATAAATACTAGAATCTTCGATAGACGAACCCCATGACCTACCACAACCGATTTTGATGCATTAGTCACGCACCTTTAATAAATAGACATTGCAAGACTTTCCTACGTGACACATATCCTACATTTATGCGTAAGCTAGCACACCTTCTGCTACAACATTGCCACATATTAAAACCTACAGAAGCCTAGATATCCACCTAAAACGTATTAACAAGATATACTAGACGACATGCCAACTTACCAGTGGAGGATCTTGCACGCGCAGCGGGTTCGATATTACTGTTGGCGGAAGATTTCGACAGCTTACCTTCCGACCGTCACTGTTGCCAACTGTTCCAAGGTGCGTTCATAGATTTTACAGCAGGTGGAGATCTTCGCTAGGTCTCACGATACATTTATACTCAACTATACTATTTAATGAATCTGTATCCTGGGAAACTGCATAAACTCATATGATGTTCGATAATTTTTTATTATTCAGGAGCCCAAAGTCTCAGTACTCCGTAGCAGTCAATCTGCCAGTGATGATTTGCTCCTCTCTTTGCTTAAAAAATTGTTTAACTAATTAATTGCTACCTAACATTTAACTATCGTTTCAGAAGTTCAAAGAACGAAAATGAATTCGAATGTACTGTAATTATTTCAATAGCTTTTCATTAACATTTGTCTTAGAACCAAGCCGTCAGAAGAGGATGGAATATTATTAATATTCCTTCCAAAAAAGGCGAACAATATAACAAAGGCGATCTAAGTTCATTTGAAATTTAGCACATCAGCTCAAATTATTGTTAAATTAGGGAGAATGAATACAAATAAAATTACAAATACATATACTAATAATAAAATACAAAGCTCCTACACATATGACGACACTGCTATTCTTTTCTAAAATGAATATCACAGTATCAAAATCATGGGTGTAATACAGTGCAATGCATTCAGAATAACGGATCGGATTAAAGCGTTCTCAGAAATTGCTAACTATAATTTCTTGACGACCTTCTAAACCAATAATTACCGATTAAAGAACTAGCGAAAGAAGAACCCCATATTGGGCCGCTTGGAAAGTAAGTGTTACAGTGGCTCTGCCATTCTACTGTTAGGTACATTCATACAGGGGATAAAATTTGCATCATCTTCTACAGAGATGAACCTACATATACCACCACAGATTTTGTTGCGCTGGTCGTAAAAAATTTGCCTGTACATTATCAGTATTAGAGATATTCTTTAACTGTGTATATGAATTTACTCTACCGGGTCCGCCATATTTATGGCAACGGATGTTTGTTATATAAAAATAAGTTGGTTTCTAGGAGACTTTTCTCTTATAATGAAGCTTGATATCATCTATTAATTCATTTATTTTAGATTGCAGAAGTCTAATAGGTGTCTAAATTTACTATCATTTATGGCAGTAGATAGAAATGCAATTTTAAACTTTCATGAAAAGGGCGAGAGTAATTCAGTCCTTGCAAAAAAGCTCCAAATTCATCGTGAAACTTGTGGAAGGTGGTAAAAAAATTCAAGGAAACTGGTGAAACATGCAATCGACCTGGTCAAGGAAGGAAACGAAGTGTCCGAACAAAACAATTGGTCAAAAACATGAGTGAGAAGTTGAGGAGAAACCCTCGTCGCTTAGCTGCAAAATTGGCTGCATAAGCAGGAATCAGTCAGACATCAATGCGTAGAGTCCTCATAGTTGACCTCAAAACCTCCCCTTACAAGATGCAAACAAGGCATGAACTAACAGACCGTCATGAACGAATGAGGCTCGAAAGATGCCAGCACATTCTGGATCTCATTGAGGATGGCACGCTGCCCAACTTGGTGTTCAGTGTCAAGAAAAAAATATAACTCAGGGGAGCGCAGCCGTGCGCTACCAATTTTGTGCACCAATAAATAACTCAGTACTCACTGCAGTGAGTGACAGAGAGCGCATTTTCTCGTCGACGAAAACTTAAGGTCACGGACGGACGGACAGACAGGCAGACAGACGGACATGGCGAACACAATAGTGCATTTTTCCATGAATGAGAAAATGCGCTAAAAATTTGACATTGAACAAAGCGTTAACCGTCAAAATGACAGAGTTTGGAGTCGGGATGGATCTGTGGCAACCAGAACAGCAACACGACGTCAAAATCCCATGTCCGTGATGGTTTGGGCCGCGGTAACCGCCACTGGGAGGTCCCCACTCGTTTTTGTCCCCTCAGGAGTGAAATTGAACAGTCAGCGATACATTTCGGACATTTTGGAAGCTGTGTTGTTACCTTGCATGGGCCCGTAAACACTTCAACGGCTCACCATGGAGTATTCAAGAAGACTCTGCCCCATCACAAGGCTCAAACATGACACAAAACTGGATTCAGGGTCACATCTCAGCGTTCATTAGCAAAAATGAATGGCCCTCAAGAAGCCCTGATTTGAATCCTCTCGACTTTTCTGTGTGGGCTATTTTAGAGAGTAGGGTCTGCAGAACACCTCATGATTCTTTGGATAGTTTGAAGTCTAAATTGATACGAGAATGCTGCGTGTCTGCTGTGAAGCTTTCCTGCGTAGAATGGAGGCCGTCATTAGAAATAAGGGTGGTCATATTGAATAAATATGTGTGAAAATTGTTTAGGTATTTCTTGGCTACTAGCTCATCCAATAAAAAACAATGCACCTGTTTGTTTCATTGAGAAATAATAAAAAAATATGCGTTGCCATATATATGGCGGACCCTGTGTAAAAGACTAGCAGCTTCACCAGGTATAATGAGTGAATTTTGCAAATACAACGCTGCTGAAAATTCCATAATTCCTAATCCAGTTCTCCGTAATACCATCCCTAATATCGTAATCCATAAGCCTGTTGCCTTTATTCAATTGCCGTCAAAACCAACCTTCAACGTTAAATTTACATTAAACTACCACTTTTACTTTTAAAAATTACTTGAATTTTTCTTCTAAACAAAAATTAAATCATCTAAAATAAACATGAATGATCATTTTTCTCATCTTTTTGCAATATATCGCAATATCTCAAATGAAAATATTAAGCACTTGCATATTGCGTATTCGCGTAATTAAATGCCTTGTCTTATTAACGATTTTCCAAATATTGAATGAATAGAGTCTTGCCTCTGAACGCGCACCCGGTGAAATATTATACCTAATAAGTATTAAGTACCCATGTGGGGTTTTGGTTTAAGACATAATATTCATGTTGTGTTTTAAATGAATTTTTTGCACATATCAGATGCAAAGGACACGGATTCAAAACTCAATTACGAAACGGTTATGGTATTTTAAAAAATATTACTAAATTCGGGATTTGGCGTAGATCCTTCGATTGAGATTGTATCAGCTTATTAAATTTATTCAGCAAATTTGCCTATTTGAGAGAATATTTTTGGGTACACTATATGAATGAAGATTAACAGTGTACCTAACCCGTTACTAGTGAAAGAGTGAATAAATATTTATACAGTTCGATGTTATTTTTCTTTAACTAAAATTTGTCACTGTTCTTAAAACGTTCTTCAATTCTTTTCGGACAAACAAAATCTTCAATACATTTTTGAATGCTTTATTTTAATGCAACAGTTGGGAAATGCGATTGATTTCCTATCAGATGCATTCTTTAAATTTCTTCTTCTATTGTAAGAAAAAATGCAATTCCTTGCAAGTTTAAAGAAAATAGATCATCAAATATTCAAAATTTGTGATATTAATCCAATTTAAATGATATATTTTTTGATTCGAAATCTATAATTTGAATATTCCTGCCATGAATAGGCTACGTGCATTTTTTCCTTTGCCGAAGTTAGGTCGAAAAATCAAACTCCCGCGTGACACCATCAGGCTGACTCCATTAACAGCGTTGAAAATAAGCATTTCGTTTTTTTCTGGCTCTCTACATTAAGGATTCATGAGTTATACATAAAGTATATGCAACATAAGCAGCAACATGACTTTAAACAAAAAGTGAAACTAAAATTTAATGTAGAACATTTTTTTTTCTTCGAATTGTACGGCAGATTACTTACTAAATGTACATGTGTTGCTAAAATCAATTCTTTCGTTGCAGGTTACTACTTACTGTTTGTTGCAGACTACTTACTGTTGCACACTACTTAATGTTGCAGACTACTTAATGCTGCAGACTACTTACTGTTGCAGACTACTTATTGTTGCAGGCTACTTATTGTTGCAGGCTACTTATTGTTGCAGACTACTTATTGTTGCACACTACTTAATGTTGCAGACTACTTAATGTTGCAGACTACTTAATGTTGCAGACCACTTACTTTTGCACACTGCTTAATGCTGCAGAATACTTACTGTTGCACCTTACTTACTGTTGCAGATTTCACACTGTAGTAGACTACTCGCTGCTGCACACTTCGTACTGTAGAGTGAACAAAGATTAATCTATTATATAAATGGAGAGCCGTGTACGATGTATGGCATGCTGGGCTGACAGTCATCGCGAATTGCTGTGCGCAGCGAGAGCAATACTAGAGGCAGTTAGTCAACCCAGTGGTGCGGATCGGCTGACGCTATTACGGCATCTTTCAGTTGTCTGTGAAATCTTTCGATTATGCCATTAGCGCGAGGATAATAAGCAGTTGTTGTTATCTGCAAGCATCCGAGTGTATGCATGAGGCTTTGCATTATACTACTCTCAAATTGGGCTCTTCTAGCAGAGCTGATAGGTAATGGAACGCCAAAGCGAGCGATCCAATTGTGCAGAATGGCGGTTTCGACAGTTTCAGCGGTGATGTTTGCAAATGGTATCGCCTTTGTTCATCTCGAGTAACGGTCAATCATGGTCAATATGTAGGAATATCCCTTATTATAAAGAAGCGGGCCTACGGGATCCAAATGTAATTGATCGAACTTGACACCTTCAGTAGGAATGGCGGAGACAGCAGAGACGTTGTGTCGGGTAACTTTGGCACGCTGACCAGCTGAACAACATTTTGTTTATATTTTTATGTCGGAATTTATGCCGGGCCAAATGAAGCGAGCGTACACTCGCCTTAATGAAGATCGCCCTCCAGGATGTGACACGATATGAATCTGCTCACAAATTTTGCGGCTTAAGCATGCAGGAATGTACGGTTATGCAATTTTACCATCAAATTCGCAAATAATTGTGAATAATTATCATCGTAATTCGCATTACGATGTACCAGGGACAGAGAAATTGGCGTTTTTCTTTAATTAAAACTTTCAGTTCTTCGTCCCTCTCTTTTTCAGGAGCCAGGTTAGCTTCATCTTCGTGAACAATGAGTGCCAGATAAGGAAAGCTGGCTTCAGAAGC